TTTTTTTTTTTTTTTTTTTTTTTTTTGGTTCTTTTTATCTTCTTTTTTTTATTAACAAACAACTATAATTGCGAACAGATTTTGTCGTGCTCGTGGCAAAGGGAGAATCCCATCCAGTTGTGGGACTACGATAGCGGAAAGCTGCTTGCTTCCTTGGAACCCGACAGTTATCCCTCCCTGCTCTACTGTGGCAAATACGTGTCGAACATGTTCATCGCTTGCGGTGGTACAAATGCCAATCTCTTCAGAGTGGTCGACTTACGATCTCACGCTGTAAATATCGATCTATCGCACGGATTTTTCCGGTTTGCTCGCAGTGTACAGTCGGTGGAAACGATCTAGTCAGGTGGTCGTGGATTAAAATACTGATCTGAGTTTTATTATATACGATTCGGAGTCTCACACAGTCAGACGGCGGTCTCTGAATCGCTTATCGAATACTCGGTGCTCGATGCTCGAGAACGCTTGGTACCTTCAAAAAATATCGGTAGGCTTCGAAAGTGTTGAAAGTGTTTTCGAGTTGCTGAAAAAGCTTAGCGGTAATACTCCGTTATCTTGACAAGTTGAATTGTACGCCACGAGAGGTTTCAGAACACTGCCAAATGTCAACACTTTCGTACAAAGTGAACACTTGATCTTTCGCGCGGTATCAAAAAACATTAATATAAATATCAGTTTGAAAATATTCTTGGTCTCTTCGTCGCGTGGAAATGAATATTTCATAATTAATATTATACGCCTTATTATTGAACGTCGCATGCGTATATGACCTGACACGTCCGAGTGAAATAGATTTCGACCGCGTGAAATGAAAATCCACAGAATGAAGCTGGCAAATAAGACTCGATGAGTGATACATTTTACACGATTTCATGCGATTGAGAGGACTGGAAACATTTCTCTCGAGTGAACCTGACGATATCTCTTCGATCGACTATACTCGTAACACGCAGATGATGACGACGACGATTATTATTCCTTCGACAGACATTGGCAATGATCAGGAATTTCAAAGGTGGTGTGTACAGCATGGACGTTGGCCCGATAAACCCGACGCACGCGAAGAAATCGAGGATTCTCTCGGTGGTGCCGCAGCTTGCGTTCTGCGCTGGCAGACGGATATTCGAGATAGACGCTCAACCAGCTTGATCGTCGATTTCTCCTTCCAGGTGGCAATTAAAAACTCTGCCGCGAAAGCAAATCGACGTTCCGTTTCTTCGAAGTTCTCGTGGCTACGACGATTTATGCGAGATATAGTCTCCGGGCAATATTTTCTCGTTCGAACGCCGTGCAGATTTTGTTCACGCAGATATATAACTTATCAAGTGAAAGTTTTCCATTCGTTTCATTTGTGTAAGAAAATCCTGTAAGTTCGACATGGTGAACACTAGAAATACCAGAGTAAATTCTTTTTAAATATTGGAAGAGGTTGAACATTCTTTCTTGATGATAAAAAATCCGTGAACGTTGGTGAAAATAACAATCTTCAACAATCTTCACTGGTGTTTCTAGTATTGGCCAAAACATTTCTTGAAATGAGCTATCGTACGTACGCAGCTTCGAGCGGAATTATCACGCGGAACCAAAAAAAAAAAAAAAAAAAAAAAAAGAAAAGAAAAAAAAAGAATATAACGAGTGATCCGTTTCGTTCACATCCGTTTCGATGTAACATTTTTCTTTTATTCTAATTTAATGCGTTACAGTTTCTTTCATCAGCATTCGGTCTGAGGATTGTTCCACGGCCTCGGATGTGTTTCGTCCGAGAGACAACAGCGATCGAGAATGAACGTATGA